CCCCATCATGCGTCCAGCCTCGGTAGGATCGCAGGTTGGTGAACACCCCCTAGACCAGAGGTTTGCCCAGGTTGTAAAGCACTGTTTTAGATAGACAGCTGATTGTAGCACATAGGCGCAGAAGCAACAGCGTCGCGAAAAGCACAGTGGCGCGCTTGGATCCCAACATCTGACGCCAAGTGGATATGTCCCGCGGTTTCGGTGGAGATATCTGTGAGATCTTCTTTGCCAGCCCCCACACGCTGTGGTCCTCCCTCAGCCATGAAGGCTCCCTGGGGGACTGGGGAGCGGTCCCTCCCTCTTGGCCCAGCCTACCTGGCAAGGTGGTGGTTGTGGGGAGAGGGATAAAAGGAAGGGAGAACCTCCCCCTACCATCTGCCTTGAGCTCCTGGAGAAAAGATGTGCTATAGCTCTACTAAATGGGACCATAGAACGTATAAGTGGGAAGGGGGCTCAGAGGTCATCTAGACTAGTCCCCCCAGTGCAACTCGGTCCCTGCCTGACCTGAGTCCCCCTCCTCGCCTAAGCAGATTGGGTCATGACTCCTTCCAGCAAGGGATGGCCTGTAAGATGGAGATGGAGTCTCCTTTATTTCAAAGTTGATTCATCGATCAGCCAGAATGAGCTAACTCCTGCCCTTTGCTGTGACTGTTCGTACTCTGGTTGGGCATTTTTGCATGCTGGATTGGACACAGGACTGGTTGGCTGTGTGCATTTGCTGTCAGGGAATCCTAAGGTCGGTGGGGAACATGGAGGTCATCTATGCTCCATGCTCAGGGCAGGCATCCCGTCTTGAGCACCCCAGACGGGGTGCTGTCCTGTCTCGGCTTGAAGGTATCCAGCAAAAGGGAACCCACCGGCTCTCTAGGTCAGTGTTTCTCAACCTCAGCAACTTCAAGCGGTGTGGACTTCAATTCCCAGAATTCCCCAGCCAGCATAGCTGGCTGGGGAATTCTGGCAATTGAAGTCCACACACCTTAAAGTTCCCAAGGTTTAGAAACACTGCTGTATGTCTTTGGTTCCACTGTTGAACTGTTCTTACTGTTAGGAAGTTTTGGCTAACATTCATTTGGAGTCTGCCTCCTTGTAACTTAAACCCATTTTTTTGGAACGAGGGGAAAGAGTTCCTGACCTCTTGGGTGGGACTTCCTTTCAGGAATTAGAAAAGTCCTATCCTATCTCCTTTAATCTTCAAGGCAAAACATACCCAGATCCTATTCTTCAATCTCTCTGCAAAGGACATATTTTCTAACCCTCTGATCATTTGTTCTTCTCTAAATCTCTTCCAATTTCTCTGAAACCTTCTTAAAGTGGGTTAAGACCTGGATGTTTTCAAGGTGAGGTCTGATCAAAGGAGACTAGATTGGAACAGTGACTTTCTGGGATTTGGAAAGTATACTTCTATTGATACCATCAGAAATTGCATTTGCTTTGTTTGCAGTCCCATTACGCTCCTGGCTGATCCTCCATTTGCAATCAATTTTATTGAACGAAGACGCTTAAGCTAACCCATTAGACCAGATGTTTCATTTGAATCTCACTCAAATGGTACTCTGAAATGGCTCCGAAGGCCCATGCAATAAATCATAATAATTTTTGAAGGAGTTTTGCAGCCCTTCCTCCACAGACCAAGATATATTTTCGCTGCTTTCTTCAAAAACGGAGATCAGAAGGAGGAGCATCTAAGTTGCTTTGAAGAAAACACCAAGCAACCGTCTCGCAGAGATGGGGAGAAGAGATTGGACCAGATGACCTCAAGGATCCCTTCCCATTCTAGGAATCCGTCATCCTTCCTGATACGAAATCTTAGTCTGAGAAAAGAAGGCAGTTCCTAAGAGGAGGCTGAGGGATCTAGAACAGATCAGGGATTCTCGGTGGGTTTCTCCGTAGCTGTTGGCCGAAGTCGGCCATCTAACTTGCCTACCAGCATCTTCTCTTGCAGAGTTGATCTTTTCGGTTCAGTGTCAGCCTCTTTCCGCGTTTCTGCTCGGCGGCTGTCATCTCTTGTGCAATTAATCGGTCTCCTTGCATCATGCGTGTTGGCAACCACCTATGTTTTCAACAGATGGCTTTCATGGTTCCCCCACTTCCCAGGAATTCCAAAAAGATTTAACCATGATATTTGTTTAATCCAAGGGTCTAAACTTTCCCTAGCTTTTGAGCCAAGGCACAAACATCAGCTTCAGAAAACGAGTCAGAAAATTGGAAGGGTGGGGTGGAGAGACAGAGCAATCAGAAATAAATCTCTGCAAAAGGGCAGAATCTAACACAGCTGGCTTGGGAAATCCAAAAACCACGAGAAAGGGAGCAAGAGGGTCAAAATCAGACCAGGGCCAGATTCTACAGTGGTTTTAGAGGGCACGGTGTGCCCAGAACCGGATGCCAAAACCTGCTTTTGACCAGCAGCGTAGATTTTACCCTGGCCTTGCAGGAGATGTCTCAGCTATGAATACCCTGAAATTCTTGGCTCTTTCATTCCTGTGAATGAAAGTTTCTAGTCCCTAGGATTGCACAAGGGGGCTAGGGCATTGCCAACACCTCTGCAGAGGCTAGCTGACGTTGGAGTGGCAGAGCCGAGATGAGCTGTCAATAATTCGAGGATCCAGAGAAGTTTCTGCAGTTTGCAAGTCAGCAAGACCAGGGATTCTGGGTGGTGGTAGAAGATGTGGAACCGTATCTGTTTCTCCAGGTTCGTAACTGCTGGGTGTGGGGTGGTTTTGTTTTGTTTTTTTTCTGGTTCCACTTCTAGTTTACATTTGTAATTTTGCAGGAGTTTGGCGTTTCTCTGGATGCTTAGCATTCTCAACGTTCTGCGACATCACAGCGGGTCAGCCAATGGCCTCTCAGTTTAGCCACCGGAAAAAATCCACGGAATCTGGCCATTGCAAATTGTGCAAATTTTAAGATCCAGGGCAAGGACAGAAAAGCTGGGCGTTTTTTTGCTTTTCTGCCACTTTCTCAGGAAGGCTGGACTTGCTGCCAGCACTTTTAAAACCTCTTTTTTATTTCTTTTTCATCGGAGCAATTTTCCTGCTTGGGGAATCACAGCACCTTTTGGTTTAGGAGGGAGCTGCGGTTTCTCTTTCCTGCTGCAGATCGCAATTGGGGAACTTGTTAAACGCGACTTGACAATTTTGGAGGTGATACTTTGCCCCTAGCAATTAAAAAAAAGAGAAGAGAAAGAAAAGAAGGTGTGCGTGCTTTAATTCATCCTTTAATTCTGTTGACATAGCAAACGAGTCGTGGTTTTTAATGGGTTGCAATTCACTTTCAGGGATCCCAGAACAGGGATCTAGAGCAGCAGCTACTAGGATTCCTCCTATGTGAAAGTCAGTAGTACATTAAAAAAAAGAAGAAAATTCCTTGCTTTCACCGGAGAAAGTTCAGTCACTGAAGGTAGTTTCTCTTAATTAAGTCTCTTTGATGCTCCAAGGCTGGATCTCTCCCAACAGCAGAAATGCAGCCCTTCTTTCGGAAGATGCCGCTGTTACGAGTTCTTTTTTAAAACATACACGATTAGATTGATCCAGACTCAAGAGAGACACAAAAGTACTGGACCCTCACTCAGGGGTTTCTCCCTATAAGGCAGTGTTTTTCAAACTTGGCAACTTTAAGGTGTGTGGACTTCAACTCCCAGAATTCCACAGCCAGCATGCTGGCTGGGGATTCTGGGAGTTGAAGTCCACCCATGCTGGCCAGGGGATTCTGGGAGTTGAAGTCCACACATCTTAAAGTTGCCAAGGTTGAGAAACACTGCACTAGGGTAAGATGTAGGGTTGCTACAAAAGTTACTAGGGGGTTAGCTCACAGGTGGCGAAACATAGAAACTTGCTATCTATTGAGTTAAGCCGTGACTCTACCATGAATTGTTTAGCTTGATGTTCTCCAGGATTATATGTCTCATCTTCGACCCTTTGGTGCCCCTTTGCAACTCTCCCCCCAAAGCTCCCCCCAAATTGTAAAGTTTAACCCGATGGGGAAATGGTTCAAATGTATGACCGTGATCAGATTGACAGCATTTAATTAATTAACCGAGAAATGTATGAACGCGAGAGGTCTATTGTCGATTTGCTGAGTTAAAGAAAGCTTATGATGACGTGAGTAAGCTTGAATTATGGAATGTTTTGCAGGAATATAGTGTTGAAGGTTGATTGCTAACTGCAGTAAGGGCAATATAAGATGGAAATGGAACCTGCGTGAGATAAATGGAAGCAATGGAGGCTAATATGTGTAGCTCAGGGTTGAACTGTGGAGTCCGTGGGGTTCTCTGAGCTTGGTTCTTTTCTT